TGGAGGGAGTTACAGTTAAGTAAGGTAGCAGTGGTTTTGGAACGAACGTGGTAAGTACATACATACAGCTATAGCAACATCTGTTAAAGATATATTAAAAAATGATAAAACCTCTGACGATAATGGCAATTCAGAAAGTGATCCACCTTAAAAAAATATATATATAATTAAAATTAAGTTTCAAATATAGAAATGACAAATGTTTTATTTATAACCTAACCTAACCTATATCATTGATAAATACTTATATTATCATCAATTAGAAGGCCACCATTTTCACCTCTGCTCACTTTCTGATTCTCGTCTACAGTTAAGATATGCTGACCTGGTACAAGTACAAAATTATCGGACATGATGCCTTAAGGCTGGTCTACAATACATGGAGTAAGCTGGAGTAAGGAGTAGGAGTAAGAAAATAAATCCATTTTATTTCTTACTCCTACTCCTTACTCCAGCTTACTCCATGTATTGTAGACCAGCCTTTATATTCAGAATATTATTCAATATTCCTCCGACTAACTGAAATTCGCATTTTATTTTTCCCGCCTTTTGCCTTGGTTACTATCACAACCTCTGAATTTTGGGAGGTCAGAAAGCTACCTCTGTGGTTAACCAATTATGCGTTTTGGAACGGTAACGTGAGGTTACTATAAACCAACCGCAAAGTCGTACCGAGGGTTTTGGAACGACCTATGGTAACCAAGGTAGGGATTTGGAACGCACCCCAGTGGGGAAACCGGTTGAATCAACAACGGCACGTCATTGAGTTCAGGTTGGGTCCGAGTACACACGGCAGGGTACGGCCTTGCCGCGCGCGAGCGACAGAGAAACGTTCCACGGGCCGCGTGAAGTTGGCCGCGGAACGGGGAGCAGTGTCGGACGGAACATCCAGAGACCTAACCTCCGAAACGCGGCCGCGGTCACTGGAGAGCTCGGGGACTTCGGGCGGCTTTCGTGGAGCCGTTTAACTTCCCTTTCGGAGCGCACGCGTGTGTCGGCGTGTACGAGTGACGAACCGCCGCGTGTTCCCGCACGCCCGGGCGTTTAATCGTCCCGAGTCCTGCTCGGCGAGCGACACGCATATATAGATTGTCGAAGCGCTGGGCGATTAACCTAATCCGGCGTAGAGTTAACTCGCATGCCCCGCGTGTATCGCGAACCACGGTGGGAATATAAATATAATTCTGGTGAGTTTCGATCAGTCGCTGTGCGGCCGCGCAAAAAATGACGCTCGCTCGCGATTTTGGGAACGAGAGTCGACGCGGGAAGCACCTCCGGGAAAATTGAGTTCGTTGAGAAGCCGCATAAAGCTCGAGCTGAGATTGCATCGCACATTAATACATTGTAAAAGACAGATTTGCCAGTTATGGTCAAAGAATAAACTACATTTAAATGTTATTTAATACTGGCAATCTAGAAGATTTCACACTTTGTTAATACATTATATTTTAATATAGTCAGGATAATATAATATATATAATAAAATAATATACATTATTTTATTATATATGTTATATACGTATATATTTATTTTACAGGTCCCAATTTAATGTTCCACCCCAAATAACATTTTGTTTTTGATCGCAGAAGAAAAATGACCTTTCCGTGATCTTCAAGCAACTCTTCAAGGTCAAACTAATGGCGCCATCTTATGTCCCCCCCTCGAACCAAACAACTTTTGTCTGAAACGTTTTTTTGCGATGAAAAATAAAAAGGTTATTTGGGGTGGGACATTAAATTGGAACACCCTGTATAATATGTAATTTTGTGCAACATTTTTACTTAAAGAGAAAGCTACGGAGATAAGAATATGGTCAACTGAATTTTCGATGACTAAACAGTTTATCGCCACTTTATCAGCAATAATTATTTACCACGATCTTACTGGCAAAGGATAAGATTATCCTATCGTGCACCTGCATTGTTATTTCAAAGATAACGAAGAAGTGTTTCCTTACTTTTTGTTTTGTCATGCAAGAAAGTCAGATTTTGGTGTAACATTTATAGTACACGATAACAATGGAAAACTTTTATGCGTTTTATCAGACTTTTTAATGGGTGCGTCAAAAATTAAGAAATATTTTCTTTCCCTAAAAAAAACTTGAAAACTTTCGACGTCCTTTCTTTAATAACAGCGGAAGAAAAATATATCTTTTACTCTTGCACGCGTCTTCTATACAAATATCTCAAGTGCAGATTACTTCGTTTCACGGATATTTGCGCGTATCGCGGGAGCCCGTGATTGAGCTTGGTTGAAAGACCTGTTCCATGTATAAACAACACTTGCTTGATCGCTTGCTTATAAAAAAAAATATATATATATGAACTTCCAAGATGCAGAGCTTACGAGACTGATATTGAGAAGTCCATAAATAACGACGGATAAGGAAAATCAATACTATCCCGAGAATGAAACATCTAACAATGTTCTATTTGTCTTTCGAATTCTAGTTATTTAAACGTATGCACGACGCGAGGGTTTAAATAAATAAATAAGATATGCGGCGTATATACCTCGGATGATATCACGGCCCGAGTAGTCCGAAGGCGCCCGCGGGAAGAATTGCGCACTTTAAACTAGCTCTCCACTAACGTAGAATGCTGAATGCCTTGTTGCAACCACTTGCCTTCTAATCACTCGACAAAGGGTATTTAACGCTCCGCGCAATTTTATTATTGTTTCTGTATCAGCAAAAAGTCGCCGTTCCAAGATTTATCATAGGTCATGGACGATATCGGGGGGGGGGGGGGGTCTTATCAGTTTTATCCGGAAAACGTCCAGCTTGATTTTATTCTTCTAATACGTAATGCTCGATCCACTGTACAAGAATTAAGTATTGGAATATGTATTTTCAATTTGATTTTGTTGAAATTCTCCCTCCGCCTTCATTTATCTCCAAGCAGCTGTGCAAGTTGTAATAAATTATTATTTACGCATTAAGAATTGTATTAGTCCCAAGTTAAATAAATATCTTTTATTTCACGTCACTCTTTATTATATTCTTACTTTATTACATATTACTGATACTCTTTATTACATATTACTTTTATCTACTTTTTGGCTGTTTTTGACTCTTACCCTTAATTTATTAATTAATTTATTTCTCTAACTTATCACCTTACGATTTATCCATTTATTTACTTATCTTTACCCGTAATAATTTCAGATATGACATGAATTTGCTGCCACGGACTCGTGAACTCATTCTGTTTCGGCATAAATTAATTTCTTCAGTCAACATTAGGTATCTTTCTCCTTTGTAATACATACTTATGTACATACTAAAAGTTCCTTTCTTTTTATTGCGGTCTGAGCATTTGCTCCAGATTGTACTTGAAAACAACCCGATAAAGTGGTCGAAACGTTGCGACTTAAATAAAGATCACTTGTTTTGCCAGTCTGGTCAACTTTTACAAAATTTTTCCCTTTGTATAACATATTAGCATGTGCGAAGGTAAAACAAGAATTAAAAAGGGAACACTTTTTAATGAGATAATATTTATACGCATAATTACGTTACACGTTAAAAGTTAATCCTAAAAGTACCCTTAGAATCTACATTTTTCGATTTAATCGTTGATTACCAACAGCTAGTTTCATATGCTTTGTTCACCTTCAATACGTATTTCTCTTTCCAAACGAAGGAAACTCACACAAATGTACTCGTTGGAGTTTTAGAAACGTCTTAATGTCTATTATAAGATAGTTGCTTTACAGCAGGTATTTCTCCACACGTTCTATTTCGAATACGAGAATTTTAACAGCACAAAAAATATATTGGACTTAAGATTAATATAGTATCGTCCACTAGTGTTTATATTTTGAGATTTTAGTTATAGATAAAAATTATATTTTGAGATTTTAGTTATAGACAAAAATAAAATTAGCGGCGCCTTTAGAGTTTTATACTATAAATACTAGGACTCTTTGAGCTCTTTCCTATTTTCGGGTTATAATCTAGCGATGTATGATTGAGTTTGGTATATTTGTCGAGGGATGATCAGAAGAGAGAAAGTGTATAGAGAAAGTAATTGAGAGCAAATGCGCTGGTGGCGTCCCAACGTGTCTCGCTTTCTAAATTTGCGATTCACGTAATGCAAATGGACGTTGATGTTTTCCCGCGCGTAGTACGACAATACCTTAGATTTTACAATGCTGGTCTTGTCGAGTTTTCGATTGTAGAAGACGCAGTACACATGCAAAAGCAACTTCATAAATAGGAATAAAAAAATTGCGAACGAAGAGACAGTACGTACATTTTATCTAGCGGCATTTAATTTTTTAATTTTATTTTAGAACGTGTATTTTCGCGAAATAATTTCCCAACATTTAAAATTAATCCGCTCGATGTCCTATTTGATATTTTCCATTTGACATTTTGCGCTCCAAATACTATTTTGTTGTAAAAGATTACTCGCTACACAACACTCTCGTTTGTCTTACGTCCATTTCTACCAATGCAGATTAATTTTAATCTCGGTTTAGCTTTCTTTTTATCTTTTTCTCGTTCTAAGAGTTGGATAAAGATGGAAGTAAATTAAAGCGAGATTAAAGTTAATCCACATTGGTAGAAGTGGAGATATTAATAATAATAATTCCCGAGATATAAAATTGTGATACTTTTAAAATCGAGATATTAATGCTGTTAATTTTAATAAATGTAATAATATGTGATACTTGTATTATATATATACGGTTGTAATTGTAGCACGGTGCATAAAGGCAAACGATTACGACAACGTTTCAAAGGGCTGTTAAAATGTTCGCTAATGATTATTCCGTCAGAGTAATTATACTTGTTATAATCGTGTGTGACAGTGTTCAACAAGGTGAACCATGGGATCTTTATTGGGACGTATGTGACGAAGCATAACGCTTTTGCTTTCCCGGGCTTTCCGCATTCAAAAGGAAACTGATGGAATCGACGAAGAGGAACGATTCCGCGGGGCGCGAGTCGAGAGATGAGAACGGAAAAGACAAATGTCGCAGCTGCGACGCCGACGATATACAGGACAAAATGAAGAAAGTGGACGTGAAAACGTCCTCACCTACGAGTCTATTGGCCAGGAACACCTTTATGTTACCCACTGGAGTCATCAGACCCAATCAGAGCGAGCAAGTGAAAGCAAAAACCGAGACAATGCCGTCGTCCGGGTCTGCTACCGGTAAGGACGTATGATTCTCCCAAGTGTCCTTTCAAACCATCCAAGTAGAAGCGATAGTATTACGAGCCGTATCTTCTATTTTGCAAACCACGGGGGATTGTACGAAAGAGAGCATGTAAAAAGAAAGCACAATTGTTCAAAAACGCGCCACCTTCTTACAACTTTCGACAGGATATGCGGGATTCCTCATCTAAAGTTCCAAAAGTACCTGAAATTTTGTGCCGTATCAAAGCGAATCCGTACGCAAATTGACGTACAGCGCGAGGCTTCCGTTCATTTTTTACCCGCGATTTACATCACCCCGTCTGAGATGGTCTCGGAATTTTTAATCGAATAACACACTTCGTCCAATCGATTGAACAATCGATAGCCTCCCGCGTGCTACTGACGTCTCTCTGCGGTTTGATCTCGATACGCGGAGAAGCGCGCTCCGACTGGCGAGAGATCCTGCGTGTTGAGCTGAGCGTCGTCCATCGCTACTATATTGATCTACCTGTCTCAGGGTTATATTCGGCCGCGTGTTTCAGCGCAGTACCCTCCGGTCCTTCACCACGGGATCACCGGAATCCAGTCTCTCGTTTCTCTCACGTCGCCGACGGGATCCGCGAATCCTGCGTTTCGCCGCGTTTTTTCCCGTCCCAGTTTTTAAAAGCGACCGCAGTGACCCGTTGCCCCGCGACAGATGTAGATGCCTTTGCCATTCTTTTTTTCGGACACGTCCCGCGTATAGGTGAACGATTCTGGTATATCGTTAGTCGCGCGTCATTTCGTTGCACACGAACCCTTAAATAATTAAGGGTTTCTCTTGCATCTTTATTATTAGTACGACGAATCGATGGTGACCCGAGCCAAGTGGCCTACCCTTAGTCGGAACTACTTAACTAGAACGCGAAGGAGGATCACTTTATGCTCGCTTCTTCATTAAAGTTCTGGTCAAGTCAGTGCGCTTTGATGGAAATTTACGTTCTGCCCAACATAGTCTCTAAAGATTGTTTCTTTTATCGATGGATGTTTTTTTTCTTACGAAGATTTGGTTGGATCTGGGTCAGTTTTTTGGGTCATTGTGAGAGCTTGTGACAGAGTATCTTCTCACCTCAAGTCTTTTCTTTTTTTAATTTTTGAAACCGTTGCGCCGCTTGTGGTAAATTAAGTTTAAAATTAGAACCTCGCTAGATTCCACTTGAAATTTATTTCAGAAACGAGCGAAGCCTTTTGTAACGCGCAATGCTAATATTATACTTTAATTATAACTCGGCTAGTGAAAAATTGAAATTTATCATAAATACGCGCTCGAAAGCGATCGATGAGCGTGGAATATTTTGTAGATATATACTTAACTAAACGAGAGAGAGAGGGGGGGGAGAGGGAGAACGTAAAAATTTTTTTAATATGATTGAAACGGCATTATGTTACTATGAATTAATTAAATTAAAACGTAAAAGGATGCATAAGATAATAGGTATCAAACAGGTGTTGGATTATCGGCATATCGGATATTGGATTAAAAATGTTCTGTCGGCAACAGAACGATGTCTGTGTATCTGTGAAATTTGTTTAAAGTTAAATTTGCAGGATATTCCCGTCTCGTGAATTAGCTAGTTGTTTGTAATCGCGTGGGCTTTAATTGGTTTTAATTAGGTTTTAACGGCGGCGGCAGTCGGCACATAAAATCGTCCGATATGTACGTGCATTAGTGTATATTCTCTCCATATATCATATTATCATATTATCTGCCGCGTTATCGGTGTCACCTGTGACATTATTACGTCTCTAACGTTCGATACTAATAATACGTTTTGTTTCTTTGAAGAAAAAAAGAAAGGGACATCTCCTTGTTTACTTCGCCTACTTTATTTACTGCTTCATCTTGTTATTTCTTTATTGTTAAACGAGCAAAGGAAACTCAATTTTCCCCCAGCGTTGTCAAGGCGAGCCCCGCAAATTGGCATACTGTGAGAACCTTTATTTCGCGCATTGCACCGGACAATTGCAAAAATGATCGTGTCCCCGCGATTCCTGTTGTCCCGATGAAAAAATGCCACGATGCTGCGGCGCTTCTTTGGTTTCCGCCGCGGATCGCAATGGATCTCCGCAGAGCCTCGGTCTGCAGATCCAGGACGGTTAGTAATTAGTGTAATTGCCAATTACTCTATTTTGTCGATCGCGTTTACGTGTAGCCCGCACGTGTTCGTGTTTATTGTAGATAAATGGCGTCCTTATGCTGCCGAGCAGCAATTTACAGTAATGCGCAGATCGAATGACCGACGTCAATGGAAGGAGCAAGTTTTTAAACGTTTAAAACACTTCCGAGTAACTTAGTTTTAGAAACGACGGCCGGCGTTCGCTAGATAAAAGGATGTTGATTAAGAATTTATGAGATATAATCGTAATAGCAAAAGCCGATTATGAATAATGGATTGTAAATTAAACAATAAAATTAAATTATATGAAAACTAAATGAGTTACATGAAATCTAAATGTGTAACGGCCTAATCATTCGGTATACGATTATTACATTGTTTCACCTATGTAATACCAATATTTATTTAGAGAATAAAACGGATATAACAAAATGATGATAAATTTTTACCTCGGCTCTCTTTTTCACAGGAAACCCGCGGAATAAGACAGCCTTAGCACCGGGGCACAGTTTGATGGATTGGATCCGTCTGGGTAATTCAGGAGTTGATTTAACTGGAGTCGGCGGTGTACCACAGGTTGTAACGTTGTCCGAGCTCGCTAATCATAACAAGCAAACCGACGCCTGGATCGCAATCCGAGGTTCGTTTATTTCTGTACTTTATACCCGCTAAAAGAAAACTCCCTTCGCCATCGACAACTACTTGTGAAACATTTAACGCGTCGTTAGCAAGTATATCGTTCATTTATTTTAACGTTATTTATATTAAATGCTTTAATTATGTATAAAATAATCCGGAATATTAAATAGTTTCGTCGGACTATTTAATTAGTCAATAATCAAAATCAGTTTGATTACTAATGCAATTAATATTTTGTTACTTATTGACTGAATATCGGCGAATTGTATATTATTCAGCGTAAATTCTAGTTTTCATGTTTGGTTCCGATTGCAGGAATGGTATACAACGTTACGCGTTACATGGACTTCCACCCAGGTGGGGTTGACGAATTGATGAGAGGCGTCGGGAAAGATGCCACGAAGTTATTCGAAAACGTAAGACCCCCCCACTTCCCTATCCATTACATTTTACATCATTATATCGTCTCGATAAGCGGTAATTATTTTTATGTACCCGTAGATCGTTAATTCCAGGTGCACGCTTGGGTGAATTATCAGAGCATTCTTCAAAAATGCGAAGTAGGCAGATTAAGTCGCGGAACTTCCTCCGCGTCGAGCACTTCCTCCATAACGGAAAAGTCGGTTACGGATGCGAACAACTGTTTACCCGTGACGCTGGGTCGAAGCAAACGTTCCACTGGTAAGTGCCTATTGTAACAGTTTGCACTGCATTGTTTTCTAGGTCATCTATATTTAGAGAAGTATTGTTAGATTAATAAATCACAGATAGTATTGGCTCATTACAGAAGTTCGTGTATGTGTTTGTATTGTTCGCTAGAGACATAAATGAGATGCTTTTCTGTAAATCGACGAACGTTAAAATTCTATTTTCCGAAGTATGGTCATTCACGAAATTTATGAAATATTTTAAATTATTTCTTTTATTTAAAGTTGTGAAAATCTCTGAATGTCCACTGAATTTATTGCTATCATATTTATTAATTTAATGATTTACAGTTGGAATGAAGATACAGATAGTTATGCTGAGATAATGACAGAAATATCGAAATTTATTCACTAAATAAAATTTAGGACAATGATCACGGCAAACTTTTATTGTTTCAGCAGAAAAGGCAGTTGACGGAAACTCGTCGGATTCACCTAATGTGAATATGGATTGGCGGCAAACATCTAATTCTATTACACTCTTTTATCAAGGCTTACGCGACTACCCAGGAATCTATTATCAATTACAAAGGTTGAGCGACACGAAAGTTATCTTCAGATTAACTTTTGAAAAGTACATTATTATCCATGAGCTCGAATTAATCGCAGATGTAGAATGGCCGCCAGTGTGTAAAAGAGATTTCGATACGATGCAGGTAAATGATTGAATCAGTTTGTAAATGATTACACATTTCTCAGCGTGCATTTCGTAAACTCACGAAACGTATCTTATATGTTGCAGGTAGACTTTACGTTTATGAAAAGGCTTAAAGACATTTGGAAATCTCAGGGAAACCATACATTATCGCGGGAATCAATCACAAATAAACGCACATACAAAGAGTACGAAGTACTCAGTAACACATCCCTTTGCAAACTAGTTAATTTGTTAGTTTTACGTGCGAAAGATTTTCTAGAACTAATTCCCGTCGGTAGACACATAGAAGTCAAAATGAATATAATGGGTAAGCAGTAGCATAGATATCCGTTATAAAAAAGGGTTCCTATTAATGAAATATTTACTTAACTTTTTAAATAAGTTTACATTTTTCCAATAAATATTTTTGTAAAAATATATTGTCAAAAATATACCCATTTAACATTTTTCTATTCCTGCGTTTGTCACACAGGAATGGAAGTATCAAGGTATTATACGCCTGTCCCACCGTGCCTTCATCCCGAAGATATGGCGCCAAATTACAAGCCTGATTGCATTTGCTTGATGATAAAGCGATATCCAAATGGCGCACTTAGTCCGTCCATCACCAAATTACAACCTGGCCAAACTCTTGCAATGAGCAATGGTTTAGGTGCCTTTGTAACCGAATCTTTCGATCGGTATCCTGTTATTCACATGCTGGCAGGTGGAACGGGTTTAACCGCGATGTTAGGAATAATTCAACGAGCTTTAGCGAGGCGCAGTATGTAAGTATATTTCGTAATATCTTGTTATTGAAAGGACAGACAGTACGAAATACAAATAACAAAGCAAAACATAATGTTAAGCATTAAAAATAGCATAGGATAGTTTCACTATTATATATCATTATTTGTTACGTTTAATTGATGTGAAATCTTTTTCAGAAAATTAATCAATCTTCTAAATTTCAATAAGGATGAAGACAATATGTTTTACGTGGCGCAGCTTGATAAAGTAGCTGCAGAGAAGAAGTAAGTACACCTGCATAAAAACATACAGGGTGTCCTGAAATTCGCGAATCAAAATACCATAGCAAGAAAGTCGTCGAAAAAATAAATTAGAAAGTTATTTGCCATTTTTCGTTCCGAGCAGTAGTTTTTTTAGATAAAAAGGTTCAAAACAGGCCAATCATACACTACGGTTGAACGGAAACCTGTCCGTGAGTCGCGCGTCGATATTAGTGCACTAACACTATCGATTCGCGAATTTCAGGACACCCTGTATAATGTACAATATGCTGATATAATATTTTTACATATTTTATAAAATTTACGTCACATACAATTTCACAGAGAGAAACTATATAGTTATATGTTTGAAGTAATATGTAATTATTATACAAACTTATTGGTATGATTGATACATGACACATAATCATATCATATGTCAAAAAATGTGCTTATTGTGAATTAAGATATCTATTGCTCCGAAAAGCGATCTTATGAAAGACTACTAGTGTCTGATATTTGTTTGCAAGGTTCAAAGTTACACATATCCTTTCGCAAGCAAGTGATAAATGGGAGGGTAAACGCGGTACTGTATCCGACAAATTACTGAAGGAATTGATTGGCGAGTGTTCACCAGAGGGATGCATATTTACGTGTGGACCAAAAGGATTTATGCTATCTGCGAAAAAGTACGTGGCAACTTTTATTTCTTAAACGTATATTATATTTTTTATAATTTAATAAGTGGCAAATGTGATTAATTGTTATTATAAAGAGGTAAAATCGACATGGCCGCTCTAATTTAATCGTCAGTTTTAGCACTTTGCTGTCTCTTAATTATTTACATGTCATCTTGTTTTAGGTGTATTCAGACACTTGGTTGGGAGTCTCACCAAATATACGATTTCGACGACTAATCGTCTGCGCTGAAAGTATACGTGCCATATACATATATACATATATATTTCCTTTCCTTTCAGAGAGTCTTTCTAGAGAGCCTAATAAGATATGAAAACTCGTACCTGTCAAACGTTTAGTTAAATATTAGTACAGATGTTCTATGACAGCTGTATGAACTGTCATTGATGTGTCTATCATCAAGGCGATATTTTTCTGGAATAATGAAGATTTTTAAGCACTTTTACTCCCATCTCCGCCCATAACGATACATTCTTAGCTGCGATACATTGTAATACTATACGTATAGTAGATATTTACATGTAATTTTGCGAGTAATATAGGAGATGTGCAAAACAAGAATTTTTGATGTCGAATCGAATCGAATCAAATTTTATTTCCTTTTTCGAATCAGATTCCAGTCGGCAAAATTTTATCCGAATCGAAGCAAACCGAATTGTTAAATGAACATAAATTCTTTTTAAGGTAAAAAACATTTAAATTAATATAATATTTAGTATAAAACTAATAAAATATATTTTAATTAATGTCACAGTAACTGAAATTATTAGGCAGAAAATCATAGATAAAGTATTAAAATACTGTAATGTAGTATCCAATAACACTATCCAATTACATACAGAGTTAATTAAAGTAAAATAACAGTTTATTTCATTATCAGTACTCGGCTTCAGATCGAAAGATAAGAATCAATTACATTGTTAATTAGCCGCGCAGTGAGTGATATTGTATGCACTCACTGAATATAAATTGAGACGATATATATGATTCGTTTTCAAATCATCTAGATTCGCATCAGACCCGAATCTCACCCGATTTGATACGAATCGATTCGTATTCGAATAGTTTGCATATCTCTAATGGCAATCAGAAAATAGAAGCAAACTTGTTGCGCGATTTAGATAGAAAAATGATGTACGCCTCAACATATGAAACATTTCTCTTCTATACGATTCTATTGAAAGCATTTTATTGAAAACGTTCATACCTGTTTCAGAGGGAAATATTTATTAAAAATCTGTCTTTTCATGCGGATGTAACAATAATGCTACTGTATATAATTTCAATTTTATATAATTTATTAGTCATTCAGCTGTATAATCACATTGGGTAATATACGTATATTTTCTGTGAGAATTTTAAACGCGCGTAGTAAATAATGCACAACTAAATAAACAGGAAACGCATAATAAAAGCGAATAATCTAGATGTAGGCGGTTAATCATAATTGTAGAATTCATACTTTTTTGTAGGATCAATGTGATACTTTTAAATTTAATTAGTACGTTGAATTTGTTACTTAGGTTCAAGTCAATAATTAATATGTCGTTAATACGTGTTGTATTAACGCCTTATTTTTATGTAAATAAAGTCGGATAATTGTTCTTTGAGGAAAGACGGCGTAAAATGCTGCGCATTTATACATTTAAATATGTATACCGGTAATTGAAAATAAATTGCATATAGAATGACTGAAAACTGTTAAAAGTATATCGTATTTTGATAATATTATTTCATGTTTACTGAAACGAAATATGACGACGGCGTGTGATTTTAAACCGTATTGTTCTATTGACTAACGAAAAAGTTTGCTTTCGGAGGGATACATTTTTTTTTACGGAAAATCAATGGCGATTAATTTTAATCTAGTAACTCCCGACGTTATATTTAATTTTGCGAGCGGAAGGCGAATCAAACGGCAACCGCGGTATTCCCCGCCGATCAAATGACAATTCTACGTCTCCGAAATTGAATTTGCGCTTTGACATCTCCATTTTTATCTCCACTTGACACGTGGGGGATACGTACACGTCTTCTTTTTACCCCCTCCCGACGTAGACGCTTTTATCTTTGCACAGTTGAAAAACTTTATGACGCCGCTGAATTTCTCATTTCTTCCTTCCTCTCGAAGCGCATCCGCGTGGGAGGATTGTGAAAATATACCGCCCGCCTCCGCTAAATTTCTTAGGCTGAAAAACCACCCGGGTGAATCTCTCGAGTTCACCGTAGATAGCGGAGCATGTAAATTCTCACCTTCAATCTCACCGAGATGCTCCGCCACCTCCAATAATGTACACCGGTATATTTATCTATGCAACCCCGAGGAGAGGAAGAGGGCGAGAGAGCGTAATAACGTTCTTCTCCCTCACCCCCCTCCCCCAGCGAGCGGGAGTTTTCACAAAAGCCACCCCTCCCCCTCTCCCTGCCGTCCGACCGTTCGACCGATAAGGGAACTTTCCATAATGCAAAACTTCGCGGCCGGCTTAATTTTCCGGCGTCGTGTACAGAAGTGTCTATTGATCGCGCTAAGTTCTTCGCCCGCGATATGACGTAACGGCATCGCGCAGGCAGGCGGCAGGATGAGTGTCTTTCGCCGTCGCCGTCAGGCGAGGAAAATTATGTCACGGGCGACGCGCCGCTGCGTGTCTTGACCGATCGCGCGACCTTCTCGACCTCTCCGCGTCCTCCCGAGCTGGCCGTGCAAAATCGCTGCAGCAACAGCAGCAACAGTTCTTTCAGGGATTTTAATAGGCTCGTACACGCGAGCGGTATTTTGAATGAAACCGAGCAGCAATTCGCGACGATCATTTAACATAGAGAAAAGT